GAAGGTGACAGATGACAGAAGAGTTACTACCTTTGTGGGGGCAGGCGTAGTGGTGATTAAAAGGAGACAGGCTAGGGTTACACAGGTGTGTTCACTCAAGTTCTCCATTTAATATCTGTGCTGTATACTTCAAATAAAAGTTTAGCATATAAATGTTGCACTGAAAACAATTTTCAATCTGACAGGATCCTTCATTTGCCAAGTTTCAATGATTAAATTAGGCATCTGGATGGTGCTGAAATTTCAGAAAAGAAAATCAAGCAAGATGTCTTCTGCTACGGCTATTGTCCTTAATCTGCCCAGAACAATTCTCCCAGGCCAGTTCTTCTAACAATGCATCTCACCTACTGTCCACAAGGTGATCAGAGGAGGTGACAGAGATGGGTCTAGGGACGCCTTAAAGTATTTAGCACACCTCCAGGCACAGGGTGGGCACTCAAATACTGCACTAATTTCTCTCAACGGATATATTCTTAAATCGGGGACCTATAAAAGTGTTTATCCACCTTACAAAAGTATCGAGTTTCTCTTTAAAACCTGATGCCAGTGCTGTGGCGCAGCAAGTTACGCCACTGCCTGCAACACTGGATCCCCTGTGAGTGCTGCTTTCAGCCCTGGCTGCCCCGCTTGCAATCCTGCTCCTTGTCATGTGCCTGGAAAAGCGGCATCAGATGACCTCAGTGCCAGAGTCCCTGCACCCATGTGGGACTTCAAGATGGAGTTCCAGGCTCCTGATTTCTGCCTGGCCCAGCCCTGGCTGCTGCAGCCATTTGGGGAGTGTGAACCACCGGATGGAAGATATCTCTTTCTCTCTATAACTCTGCCTTTCTTCAAATAAAGAAATCTTCTAAAAAGTAAAAAAAAAAAAAAAAAGAAAGAAAGAAAAGAAAACAAAAGCTGGTATGATAAATTTAAAAGTCTTTAAGACTATTTCCATGTTTTGGGAACAATTATGCAAATATCAGACACCTGGAAGTCTAGTCAGTCCAGTCATGAAGATAACTATGAGCTATTAAATAATGGTCAGATTTTTTTCACTACAGGTATAGCATCCTTAGTCATACTCCACTCTCATCCTACTAACGACCCCAAACACACCCCATGCCAGTAATTGACAACTGCTATTGCTCCCATTCTAGCTTCCTTAAATATTTTGTGTGCAGATTCTCACATAAACACACTAGTGACATCTGCATGAACATGCCATTTTTTTTTTAAAGATTCATTTATTTATTTGCAAGGCAGAGAGTTACAGAGGCAGAGAGAGAGTCAGTCTTTTATCCACTGGTTCACTCCCTAGATGGCCACAATAGCTAGAGCTGGGCCAATCCAAAGCCAGTCCCCAGGAGCTTCTTCTGGGTCTCCCACATAGATGCAGGGGTCCAAGGACTTGGGTCATCCTCTACTGTTTCCCCAGGCCATAGCAGAGAGCTAGATTGGAAGTAGAGCAACCAGGGCCCAAAACTGCATCCATATGGGATGCCAGCACCAGAGGCAGAGGCTTAACCTACTAAGCCACAGCGCCAGCCCCAGTGGTGCCCATATGGGATGCCGGCACTGCAGGCAGTGGCTTTACCTGCTACACAACAGTACTGACCCTACCAACATGCCATTTATACTGTGGTTTAACCACAAGGGCTCTAATTTACAAGAATTATGTTAATTAGGGGCTAGAATTGTGGTGTGGAGGGGTTAAACCACCACACGCAACACAAGCACGCCATATTGGAGCACTGGTTTATGTCTGGGCTGCTCCATTTCAGATCTAGCTTCCTGCTAATGTACCTGGAAAAACAGCAGAAGGTGGCCTGAGGCTTAAGCCCTACCAGTCATGTGGGAGACCTGGATGCAGGTCCAGGTTTCTGACTTCAAATGGCCCAGCCCCAGCTACTGCAGACATTTCGAGAGTGAACCAGTGGATGAAAGACCCCCTGCCTCCTCTCTCTCTTTCAAATAAGTAATCTTTTTTAAAAAGCACTTTTGGAAAGATTATGTTCATTAATAACTACTGAATCAGAGAAGGTATAACTCAATTCACCCACTTTATTATTCTTTTCTTGTTAGGCTTCCTTACTCTTAAAAAGAGCTGACTGGATAAGGCAGTGACAATAAACATCTAGCATTTCTTGAACAGTTAATATTGTGTCAGGCACGATCTTAAGTGTTTATATGTATTATTTATTTGGTATTCTTTTTTTTTTTAATTTATTGACAGGTAGAGTTAGAGAGAGAGAGACAGAGAGAGAGAGAGAGAGACAGAGACAGAGAGACAGAGAGAAAGGTCTTCCTTCCATTGGTTCACTCCCCAAATAGCCACCATGGCCGGAGCTACGCCAATCCAAAGCCAGGAGCCAGGTGCTTCTCCTGGTCTCCCATGGGGTGCAGGGCCCAAGCACTTGGGCCATCCTCCACTGCCCTCCCGGGCCACAGCAGAGAGCTGGACTGGAAGAGGAGCAACTGGGACTAGAACCTGGCGCCCATATGGGATGCTGGCACCGCAGGTGGAGGATTAACCTAGTGCGCCACAGCGCCGGCCCTGTATTTGGTATTCTTTAAAATGTAAGTCAGATACCAGGATAATGGTTTCTCCCTAAATCATTCAAAGAACAAAAGAACATGTATCTCATAGAAGTGAATAAAATGATACTAGCTTTAAGAGAAATGTATACGAAAATCCAGGCAGTTATTATTCAATTGGGTTTAACTTAAAAACAGAATAACAGAGCAAGCATTTGGCACAGAAGTTTAAGTCACCACTTGAGACGCCCACGTCCCAGATCAGAGTGTCTGGGAAAGTCCAAGCTGCTTGTGATCCAGCTTCCTGCTAAGGCGCACCCTGGATGGCAGCTCAAGCACTTGAGTCCCTGCCACCCATGTGGGAGACCCATACAGAGTTCTGGGCTCCTGCCTCCTGGCTCCAGCATGGCCCAACCTTGGCTGTTGTGGACCATTTGGGCAGTGATCCCAGTAGATGGAAGATCTCTATCTCTCTGCCTTTCCAATAGCATGAAAATAATTTTCAAAAAACAGGGGAACTAAATCATATGTAAACATACTAGTATGACTGAGGTTTACATTAAGTATTAATTAATCTGAAAGGACAAAGAATATTTTCTTTTTATTTGAAAGGCAGAGAAACAGACTTCCCATCTGCTGGTTCACTCTCTCAAATGCCCTCCACCGCAGAGGCTGGGCCAGGCTGAAGTCAGAAGCCAGGTACCTGATCCGCACCTCTCTCATGGGTGGCAGGGCTCCAGGTAGCTGAGCCGCCACCACTACCTCCCTGAGTGTGCTTCACAGAAACCTGGAACAGGGTGCAGAGACAGTATTCAAAGCCAGGCACTCTGATACTGGATGCTGGCATCTCGAGAGAATGCTGTCTTAACCAGTGCCCCAAACACTCATCCTGACAAAGATTTTTAAAAGCATTTATTAAGAATGCTATCATGAGTCCAATAAAAATGAAGTGCTTCCAAACATTATTTTGGGGTTAATACTGCACTTTAAAGCTTTTAACCTTGAATATGTGGAAGTTTCAATAGTGTAAATTTTTCTTAACTGGACAGGACCTAGAGATTGAGCCACAAAGTTACAGAAACAAATTACAGAACTGAGTTCCTCCAGTCTAGTCAATAAAGGACTCACCAAAATCTTCTAATTGGTATTTATCAAATACCTTAGGAAAAGGGACTTTCTCACTCCTATTTTCTAAACAGCTCTAATTTTAAGAAAACTGTTAATATTTAAGCAAACTTTTCACTGTAATTCCTACTTTTATTACCTAACACCTTACATTTCATAAACGAGTAAGTCTAATCCCTGCCTCCTCCCCAAAGACGGCCCCTCAAGCACGTGAGGACAATTCCACTACTTCTCCCCCAGCCCTCAATGCCAAGCCTGTTGTTTTCAGGGTTTATTCATGGTACCAGACGGTGGTCTGCAGACTCCTTCCTCTCCATGACCAGTCTTGGTCACTACAAAACGCAGCAGACCCACTGCTGGCTACACAGACATCCCTGTGAGGAGCCTATGGTTATTCCAGTGCTTCCCACCCCTCAGCCTTCCGCTGACAAGTACTCAACTCACAAAAGGCCCTTCTTGTTACAAAGCAAACACTGAGGCCTTGAAGCCTCAGGACATGAACTTCACTGCAGAGGTGGACCTGGAAGGCAGGTCTTCCAAGCTCCAGGACTGCTTTCTTCCCAACTCACCGGAGTTCCATCCTCACATACAACAGAGAAAGGAAAGTACAGGAGTCGAAAACAGGTGATGTTCTTATACACACAGGAAAAGGCTCTTTAAGGATATTAACTACAATTCCTGGTGGGCTTTCTTTTTTTGTGTGGGATTACTAGTGTTTATTTTCTTATTTTACTCTTCTGAGTATTTTTAAAAACACATATAAGCTCCTGTGACAAAAATTCTTTTTCATTTAAAAAAAAAAAGAAAAGGCCTAATGACATTCTTAATGTGATATACTTACTTCAAGTATAATTTTAATTTTAAAAAGCTTAAAATATGACATTACTGGTTAACTTACATTTTACGTCAAAATAACACCTTATAAGAACGTTGTGTGATGATTTTCTACCATAATGTTAATTTGAAATGCAAAAACTAAATGAGCACATGCAAACATAAAATTAATTTGTTAGTAAATACAGAACTGGAAGGATTAAATCATTCAACATTGAGCCATTAATATGTAAGCAATTAAAACTAAAGTACCTGTCACCATGGTATGGTAAGATAATATATAAATAAATCCATTAAGCAAAAATGTTTAAATGAAGTTTGTAACAGCATGAGGATTACGATGAGTCTCAAGCACTAACTGCAACTCCAGATGTTAGGTGGTAATTCAGCAAACAGGGATGGCGTGAGCAAGCAGCATGAATGAACACACACGAGGACTTTCAAGTTGAAGGTGACATTCAGCTTTGACTACAAAAGGGAAGGATTCCCCCCATTACAGAGGCATGGTACACTGCCCTCTGTACCTGGCACATCGTGGGGGAGCTCAGAGGTCACCTTCTTCTCTGCCATGTTGCTGCTATCATGGGTTTCTGGGAGACAGCCCAGGGGGCTCCTCCCTTCACAGGGACTAGTCTCTTCTGAAGAAGCATTTGTTGTGTTGTCGCCAAGATTTGCTGACACAGAGTTACCTTTATCCCCAACTTCTGTTGGCTCTACAGTAAAATGCACAATAAAACTTTAAAAATATTCTTTAAAATTGCTTCAGGACAAATGGCCACATGCAATCAACAACTAAAAATGATCAACCATCAAAAATCCTACTTCTATCTGATGGCCATTTTAAAGCAATTAGATCCAGGATATTTTCCAACAGGCAATCCAAAGAGAATATTTTAAACTATTTCATATATTAGAAAGTTTAAGTAAGTAATATAAAAATGAACATATTTTATCACATACAAAAATAGATATTCTGGAATATAAATAATTTTTCACCAACAAATCTCATAGGGAAGTGGCAACTTCTTAGAAAGTATAATTAGAGTCATGGGTATAACATTTATCACAAATCCTCCAAAATACATACAAAGCATTACAACTGTTTTGCATGTTACAAGAGACGAGGGGCTCCTAATCTCCTTAGAAACATAAAATTAAGTGGTTGTCTGCAGCAGAAACTTTCATTTTGCAAATAAGATGGAGGTTTCATAAGTAACACTGACAAGGTATTTCTTTTTAACCAAGTAATGTCGTTACCCTCAGGTTTTCCTTGCTCAGGAGCGTCCGGCATCTTGCTGTCATTGTCTCTGTCAAGGGACTGGTCGTCAGCCTCTTCTCTGCTTCTCTCAGCATCTTTACAATTACTATTCTCAGTCTCATTCTTGTCTTTTTCAATTTCTTCTGGGCTTTTAACATCATCAGCTTCTCCCTTTTGGCTCTTATGGATTCCAAAATTTCTTCTACAATAAAAATAACCAAAAAATAAATGCCACTTCGGAATATTTATTAAAGAGAAAAATTAAATGTTTTCAAAGTACCAGAACTGAATTATGTGATAAGGCCCCACCACTAAATATTTTTTGATGATCTATTCACGCTTTAGTTTTATTCTTTATTTAAGATGATGCTGTATTTATAGTTTTATATATAGATCAATAGGAAATATTTGTAAGTCAACACACTTGATTAAAGTCTACTTCGTGCTGCTTTAAAGGGACTGCAGACGGTTCTCTATTAATGCGCCAAAAAGGGGTTTGTCCATTATAATTCATGAAAGGAAATTAAGAGAGGAAAAAACCTGGCTGACATTAATAAAAGTTCCTACAATTCATCTGCAGTACAGAAGGGAGGGAGTTATTGATATCCCCACAGAGTTCTGAACACTGGAACTTTTCTGATGGCAAAATTGTACATATTTTTCTAAACAGATGTCAAAGAGAAATATTCCAACTACCAGACATAAAAAATATATAATTTATTGTAACTAAGTCTGCCTGTTTCTCAAGATAAAGTCTATTTGTGTTTAACAGGACTCATGTGTGACAGCATGACTATCATTCTTCAGAAATATGTATGAATTCAAGAGAACAAGCATAGATACAGTTGAACTGAATGCATTAAACATAAACATCTATATTAAGCAAAATGAGATGAAGAAAATTAACAAGATCCTATATATTAGATAATGTATACAGGAGAGCAGAACCAGCTAGGTAAAAGTATACCTACCTGGTCATTTTATCTAAGTTAAAAGGCACATTAGAAAATACAGCTGATGCTTATTAAACCTGCACAGAACATACATAGCTGGTTGCTCCGCTTTGGAACCAGCTTCCTGCTAATGGATGCATCTGGGAGGCTCACGTGGAATTCCTGGCTCCTGGCTTCAGCCTGGCTCAGTCCTGGCTCCTAAGAGCATTTGGGGAGTAAACCAGCTGATGAAAAATCTCTCATTCTGCCTTTTGAATAAATAAATACTTCTTTTTAAGGCAATAATGACTGGCTCTAGGACAAGGAAAGACTGGGGATTGGGAAGGAAATACACCTCTCACTGCACACTCTTATTATAATGCTTAAACTTTTAAATTAATCATATGGGCCGGCGCCACGGCTCACTAGGCTAATCCTCTGCCTGTAGTGCTGGCACCCTGGGTTCTAGTCCCGGCTGGGGCACCGGCTTCTGTCCCGGTTGCTCCTCTTCCAGTCCAGCTCTCTGCTGTGGCCTGGGAGGGCAGTGGAGGATGGCCCAAGTGCTTGGGCCCTGCACTCTCATGGGAGACCAGGAGGAAGCACCTGGCTCCTGGCTTCGGATCGGCACAGGCACCGGCCGTAACAGCCATCTGGGGGGTGAACCAACAGAAGGAAGACCTTTCTCTCTGTCTCTGTCTCTCTCTCTCTCTAACTCTGCCTGTCAAAAATAAGAATAAAAAGAGAGAGAGAGAGAGAGAAAGAAAAAAATTAATAATATGTAGGGCCAGCATAATGGTGTAGCAGGTAAAGCCATAGCCTGCAATACCGGCATCCCATGTAGGGGCCAGTTCCTGTCCTGGCTGCTCCAATTCTGATTTAGCTCCCTAATACACCTGGGAAAACATCAGAGAATGGCCCAAGTGCTTTTGGGTCTCCCCCTGCTACACTTGTGGGAGACCCGAAAGAAACTCCTGGCTTCCAATTTTGGCCAGGCCCAGACCCAGCTGTTGCGGCCATTTGGGGAGTGAACTATAGATGGAACATCTCTCTGTCTCTCTGTCTCTCTCTCTCTCTCTCTCCGTACCTCTTGTTCAAATAAATGTTCAAATAGATGTTAAAATAAATAAATCTTTAGAAAAATATATAGCACATGCAATTATGAGTTTAAAAAAATTAACTGCTGTGGCCAGGGAGTGCAGTGGAGGATGGCCCAGGTGCTTGGGCCCTGCACCCCATGGGAGACCAGGAAAAGCACCTGGCTCCTGGCTCCTGCCACCGGATCAGCGCAGTGCGCCGGCCGCAGCGCGCCGGCCGCGGCGGCCATTGGAGGGTGAACCAACGGCAAAGGAAGACCTTTCTCTCTGTCTCTCTCTCTCACTGTCCACTCTGCCTGTCAAAAATAAAATAAAATAAAATAAAAAATTAACTGAAGAAACAGGGGTCAGCATTGTAGTGTAACAGTTGTTAAGCAGCTGCCTGTAGCGTCAGCATCCTATATGAGTGTGGGTTCATGTCCTCGCTGCTCCACTTCCAATCCAGCTACCTGCTAATGACCTGGGAAAGCAGTGGAGGGTGGTCTAGGTACTTGAACCCCTCCACCCATGTGGGAGATCCAGAGGAAGCTCCTGGCTCCTGGCTTTGGCCTGGCCCTGCCCTAGCAATCGTGGCTATTTGGGGAGTGAACCAAGGCATGGAAGATCTTTCACACACTCTGTAACTTGCCTTTCAAATAAAAAAAAAAATTTCTTTTAAAAAATAAAAATAAAAGCCAGAGTTGAACAAGAAAATAAGGAAATACTGAATTATAATTCAAGGTATAAAATACACAAGTCTATAGTGATAAGAAACCAAAGACTGATTAAGTGGAGAGCAAATATCCTGTGCAAAAAACTTAGGGAGGTTGAACATAACTCACCACCCCCAAGGGTGCACTGTCCAGGACTTGCTTTCAAAGAACACAGTATCAATGGAGAGGAAGAGAGAGAGACTTGACAGTGGGGAAACCTAACACTACCGCAACCAGATGATCAAGGGACCCTTAATATGAGAACACCACTTCATCTCTGTGGTCTTCCTATCCACAATCCGTAATCCTGGGTTAACCATGTGAAGAACCTGAGAACAACCCATATTCTACAAAACATCTGCCCAACAGCGCTCAAAACTGTCAAGGTCATCAAAAACAAAGAAAGGCCGAGAAACTGTCAGTCTAGATTACAGAAGAAGAAGAGATGACTAACTAGCAAGTGATATATCCTTGGTTGGACCAAAAACAAAACAAAACAAAAACAAAAACAGAAAAAAGGATTGTGAATAAAGTATGCATTTGAGTTATTAACAGTGTATCAACACTGGCTCACTAATTATGACACAGGTAGCACAGGAATGTAAGATGTTAACAATAGGGGAATCAGCTGCAGGGAATACAGGAACACTGTGTACTATTTCTGCAACTTTTCCATAAACCTAAAACTTTCTGAAGTTAAAAGTTTCAATAGCTGGGGCTGGCACTACGGGGTAACAGGTAAAGCTACCATCTGCAGTGCCGGCATCCCATGAGTGCCAGTTCGAGTCTCAGCTGCTCCACTTCCGATCCAGCACCCTACCAAGATGGCCCAAATCCATGGGCCCCTGCACCTACAGGGAAGACTCAAATGTAGTTCTTGGCTCCTGGCTTTGGATTGGCCCAGCTCCAGCCCTTGAAGCCAATTTGGGGAGTGAACAAGTGAGTACAAGATCTCTCTTTCTGTCTCTCCATCTCTCTCTTGCGCTCTGTAACTCTGACTTTCAAATAAATAAATCTTAAAAAAAAAAAAAAATTTCATTAGCAAAAAAGAAGGGATGGAAGGAGGAAGGGAAAGTTCAAATTTTCAGAATTTTTTAAGATTTAAATAGGATTGCCAGGACTAGCAATGTGGCAAAGCAGGTTAAACCTCCACCTGCAATGCCAGCATCCCATATGGGTGCTGGTTCGAGACCCAGCTGCTCCACTTCCGATCCTGCAGCTCCCTGCTAATGTGCCTGGGAAGGCATCAGAGGATGGCACAAATGCTTGGCCCCTGCACCCATATGGGAGACTCAGATGAAGCTCTGGGCTCCTGGCTTCAGCCTGGCTTAGTCCAAGCCGTTGCAGCCATTTGGGGAGTGAACCAGCAGATGAAAGACCTCAATCTCTCTCTGTCTCTCTCTCTGTAACTCTGGCTTACAAATAAATAAATATTTTTAAAAGATTTTATTTATTTCAAAGAGTTATAGAGAGAGGTAGAGACACAGAGAGAGAGGTCTTCCATTCCGTTGGTTCACTCCCCTAATAATCACAATGACCAGAGCTGAGCTGGTCCGAAGTCAGGAGCCAGGAGCTTCCTCCGAGTCTCCCACACCAGTGCAGGAGCCCAAGCACTCGAGCAATCTTCCACTGCTTTCCAAGGCCATAGCAGAGAGCCAGATCAGAAGTGGAGCAGCTGGGACTTGAACCACTGCCCATATCGGGTGCTAGCGCTGCAGGCTGGGGCTTTAACCACTGTTCCACAGCACCGGCTCCATAAATAAACCTTTCTAAAGTTTTTAAAAATAAAATAGGATTACCAAAAAGGTTAACCACATGAGGAGCATGAGTAAAAACCCAAAGCAAGAAACTTAACTCTAAAATGTGTAACACATCTAAGTATGTTGGAGTGAACAAGGTTCTCTCATAAAAATGAAATATAGAAAATTAAAGTAAAAATACATACATTAAGATTTTAGGGGGCTGGCACTGTGGCGTAGCAGGTAAAGCCACTGCCTACAGTGCCTGCATCCCATATGGGCACAGGTTCAAGTCCTGGCTGCTCCACTTCCGATCCAGCTCTGTGCTATAGCCTGGGAAAGCAGTACAAGATGGCCCAAGTCCTTGGGCCCCTGCACCTGTGTGGGAGACCGGGAAGAAGCTCCTGGCTCCTGGCTTCAGCCAAATGGGGAGCGAACCAGCGGATGGAGGACCTCTCTCTCTGCCTCTGCCTCTCTATAACTCTGCCTTTTAAATAAATAAATAAATCTTTTAAAAATTCTGAATATATTTTCAAATTCTGTGGTAATTTCATACCAAAGAGTTTATCTCAAATTTAACAAAAAGAAAATGAGAAAATGCCCCTCTCACCATTAGCTGCCGCCAGAAAGGATTTGTTACTGCCCCGAGCCTTATTGGTCAGATCTTCAGTTATGTCCATGTGCCGATGGATTTCCTCACGCATTTCTTCTAGAATTTTGCAGAGTTCTGCTTCCCAATAATCTTTGTCTAGAGAGTCGATTAACTCTGCGAGCTGAACCTTTGTACTGTAGTACCAAATTTTCTTTTCATTTTCATTTTCTGTGTCTTCTTCTCTGTTTAAAAAAAGGGGAGGGGAAATACTTTAGATATTACATAAAACTCCACTTAACTGACAATTTCATCTATCCAGTACAAAATTAAAATATGTAACATAGTTTATACACTAAATTTCAATATATGTGCTCAGAAGAGATTCCTTCAGATCTTATTTAATTTACTCTTATTTTATTTAAGCAATGGTTAATTATTTTTATTTCTTTGCCCAGAGCAACTGAAGATAAAATAATTTCAGAGTGGAAGCAGGGAAGAGAGGAATTAGATCGCAGCAATGAAGGGTATCTAAAATCATGACACACAAGAGAGGAGCCCAGAATTCAGAGTCCCGTGACAGCACGTGGAGGGCAGTTGCAGTCACCCCTCCATGAACTATAGGACCACCAATGTAACAACAGGGCGAGCAGAATGGTATCTCCCAAACGTGTCAGCACTGATCAAACTGTGTTCAGTAGTACATGGAAGGTGGAAGGCAGATTCATATTATATTTTGAAATACTCCCATCTAAATAAGAAAAACGCTTTGCCAAGGGCTGCTTCTTGAAGACATTCTCTTAGTTGAGCAATAACACCATCATCTTTCTTTCTCATGGACAATCAAACTCAGACTAGAAAGAAGTAGCTTCCTCTCTCACCTAAAAGTCTCTTGGGGCTGGCACTGTGGCACAGCGGGTTAAAGCCCTAGCCTGAAGCGCCAACATCCTATATGGGTGCCAGTTCTAGTTCGGGCTGCTTCTCTTCCCATCCAACTCTCTGTTATGGTCTGGGTTAGCAGTAGAGGATGGCCCAAGTCCTTGGGCCCCTGCACCTGTGTGGGAGACTCAGAAGAAGCTCGTGGATCCTGGCTTCAGCCTGGCCCAGCCCCGGTCATTGCAGCCATTTGGAGAGTGAACCAGCAGGTGGGAGCTCTCTCTCCTTCTCTCTCTCTATAACTCTGCCTTTCAAATAAATAAATAAATATCAAAAATAAATAAAATAAAAATAAGGCAAATTCATGTCTAAGCCAAGACTTAGGCAAACACAAGTAATGATATTTCCCCTCCTGTTCAAAAGGGACTGAGGAGTATGGGTGAGGAACCTGATAAACCTCCGGGCTTCCCAAGTGGCAAACTGATGGCTGTGAAAGACCTGGCTGTATGGGAGACGAGGACATGGACAAGACATGACCTCTCCAGGTCTCTGAGCTATTCTGGTTACCTCACTTGTACAATGAGGGCACAGGAGTACCTGCCTTAGGGTCACCGTGAAGATTTACAGGAAAATGAAAAATCCTCCAGCACAGTACCTGGGCATGTCACGAGTACTCAGTAGTACATATTATTACTACTATCACAATACTACATAAAAATTCAGCAGAGGGGCCGGCGCTGTGGCATAGCAGGTAAAGTCGCTGCCTGCAGTGCTGGCATCCCATATGGGTGCTGGCTCGAGTCCCGGCTGCTCCACTTCTGATCCCAGCTCTCTGCTACGGCCTGGGAAAGCAGTGGAAGATGGCCCAAGTCCTTGGGCCCCTGCACCCACTTGGGAGACCCGGAAGAAGCTCCAGGCTCCTGACTCTGAATAGGCCCAGCTCTGGATGTTGCAACCATTTGGGAAGTGAACCAATGAATGAAAGACCTCTCTCTCTCCCTCTCTGAAACCCTCTGCAACTCCACCTTTCAAATAAATAAATATTTTTTAAAAATTCAACAGAATCCCAACAAACTCATTCAGTAATTAAAATTTTTAAAGAAAAATGAGTTTGCACACAAATTTCTGAAAAATTATTCACTTTTTATCTATTTGAGTCAGTCAAACACAGACACAGAATGAGAAAGAGAGACTGACAACAGAGCTTCCATTTGCTGATTCTCTCACCAAATGTCCTCAAAGGCCAGGGCTGAACCAGGAGCCAGGCACCAATTCAGGTCTCCCATATGGGTGGCAGGATCCCTAGGCCCTGTACCCACAGAAGAGACCCAGAAGAAGCTCCTGGCTGGCATGGCACAGCCCTAGCTGTAGCAGCCATTTGGGGATTGAACCGCAGATAGAAGATCTCTTTCTACCTCTCCTTCTCTCTGCAACTCTACCTTTCAAATAAATAAAATCAATAAATCCTTTTTTAAAAAGATGCGTTACTATAGGAGCAAATCTAATTAAATGGATATTCTGTCCATTTTTTCAAGCAACTCCAGCCTACTGAGAGGGCCCGTAACGGCCGGTGTTAGCGCCAGGTCTGCACCTATACATGAAGAAGTCTTCCAGCCACAAAAGAAAATACATTATTTCTTGCGGCAGTCCCTTCTAGGTTGAACTGCTCTTTAAGAGTTCTTGCCTACAACGAGATCACTCAGACCCCTGCTAGGTCCCACCAGTTCATCCTGACTGTGCTGTCAGGGTCATGAAATAAATCAAACACCTCCTGCACACACCTGTCTTCAAACCTTTCACAGCACTGGTAAGTTCACTGTGTTTTTTTTTTTTCAAGACAGACAAGCTCTTTCAAACACTCTAAGTGTTCCTTACACAGCCTGCTTTCCAATTCTTACTGACTTGATATTCTTTCCCTAAATGTGCAGTTTGTCAATGTCCTTCTAAAACTGTGGTACCCTATAACTGTTTTTTATTCTGCCCATCAAAGGCAGCAATCACACTGACTGAAGTTTCTCCCCCGTGAAGCTGCGGAAGGAAAAATTCTCTACCAGTACAAAGTGGCAGAATAATGACAATAACTGTTCAGGCTTTGCTTATAGTTGGTCTTATTAGACAACTTGTAAACTCCCAATTATTTGCCTCACTGTAGAAGTGGCAGCATCTTTCCCGTGTAAACACACAGTGATACACTTATACACCTGCTTTTGGAGCTGCAGCAGGGTTTCCACAGTTCTGTTCCTAAGAGGCCTGCTATATTCCTTAGGCTCGCTTCCTTAAGCACTCTGCTCGGCACACCTTCGCAGAGACCAGGCAAGGACAAGACAACAACGTCTGCGACGAAAATAATTAAGAGCAAACATGCATACTGTATGTCTACATTTTAGTTTCTTGGTTTTTAACCTAGGGCAGATGGGAAGGTTAATGACTAACAGTAAATTTCAGGATTTCAATTCTATTTCCACAGAAATTACCAGTAAGGAACACTACTATATTGGGTTGAATAGTTTCCCTGAAAATTCAGGTCCACCTGAAACCTCAGAGGGTGACATTATTTGGAAATACGGTTTTTGTGCATGAAGTGAGTCAAGAATTTCTTGAGATGAAATCATCCTGGATTTAGGAATCAGATCAATGAGAGAGCAGAGAGACAAACAGTATGAAGATAAAAGCAGAGAGTCAAGTATGGCAACTGTCTTGGAGCCCAGAAACGCCAAGTCGGCCAGAAGCTAAGAGAGGGGTGTGCAACAGCCCTTGGGGACGCTGTGATGTCAGACTCTGGCCCCCAGGACAGTGAGTCCATAAATTCCTGCTGTTTTAAGCCACTTGTTTCGTGACACTTTGTTACAGCAGCCCTTGAAAACCTCCAAATGTTGATATTAGGAAGTGCAATGTGGCTGGAACACAAACCTAAAAATGTGGAAAAGAGGTGAGCAGTAGGTGATGGGAGGAAACGATGAGTTCTGTTTTAGACATGCTACGTTTGAGGTGTCTCTTGCGTGGACGTGTACATGAGGCTGCTGCACGGAGAAACTGCACGAGCAGAAGGGATTCAGATACAGGCCTAATGGCAATTAAAGCCAGTAAGTAAGCAGGTGTCCTGCAACTAGACTGGGGAGTCAGGGTAGAAAGCCAGGGGTATAACTCAGAGGCCTGCACTGTGGCACAGTGGGGTAAAAGTTGCCACCTGCCATACCTGCAACCCATGTTAGAGCAACAGTTCAAGTCCTGGCAACTGCACTTCCAATCCAGCTTCCTGTTAATGTACCTAGGAAGCCAGTGGAATACGGCCCAAATGCTTAGGCCCCTGCTTCTCAAGTGGAAGACCTGAACGGAGTGCTGGCTCCTGGCTTTGGCCTGGCCCAGACCTGGCTGTTATGGTCATTTGGGGAGTGAAGAAGCTGATGGAAGATCTCAAAATCAACTTCAATCTCTTTCTCTTGCCCCAACTTCCTTCTGTCATTCTGCTTTTTAAAAAAATCATTTTTTTAAAAAAGATACACCATAGGGGTGGTGCTGTGGCGCAGTAGGTTAAGCCACTGTCTACAACATAGTCACACCATATGAGCACTGGTTCCAGTTGCATCTGTTCTACTTCCAATCCAGCTCCCTGCTAATGGGCTGGGAACTCAGCAGAACACGGCCCAAGTGCTTGGGCCCTTGCACCCACCTGGGAGACCTGGATGAAGCCCTTGGCTTCTGGCTTCAGGCTGGTCCAGCCCCAGCTGTTGAGGCCATTTGGGGAGTAAACCAGCAGATGGAAGATTTTATTTATTTATTTATTTATTTATTGGACAGGCAGAGTTAGACAGTGAGAGAGAGAGAGACAGAGAGAAAGGTCTTCCTTCTGTTGGTTCACCCCTCAAAATGGTCACCATGGCCGGTGCGCTGTGCTGATACAAAGCCAGGAGCCAGGTGTTTCCTCCTGGTCTCCCAAGCGGTAAAGAGCCCAAGGACTTGGGCCATCCTCCACTGCCTTCCCGGGCCACAGCATAGAGCTGGACTGGAAGAGGAGCAACCGGGACAGAATCCAGCGCCCCAAGCGGGACTAGAACCCGGGGTGCCCACGCCGCAGGCAGAGGATTAGCCTAGTGAGCCACGGAGTCGGCCAGATGTATTGATCTTCTTCTTTTTCAAAGTTTATTTATTTTAAAGTCAAAGTTTCAGAGAGAAAGGAAGGAAGAGAGAGAGAAGACAGGAATCGAAGTGGCACCCATATGGGATACCAGCAGCTTTACCTGCTACACAGCAATACTGACCCCTCTCTTTTGATCTTGATCTCTCCCTCTCCCTCTGTGTCTGTCATATATGCTTTACTAACCTACACAAATAACATTTTAAAATTCTTATTAAGGGGCCTGTGTTGTGA